TCCCACAGATCTTTACAGGTAGAAGTTTTGAGGCTTACCACACTGGAACCCTGGGTGCATGGTCTGTCTCATTCCCCAGTTGTCCCTCCCAGTTTATCCACATGCAAATGTGGGACTGCCAGCCACCACCTTGCCCACCGGGTCCTCCAGCCATGACTTTTCCACGAATCCTCTCCACCCCAGCTGCCCATCTCCGCCCCTCCCACCAGTCCAGATGAATGCTTCTTCTTCAACTCCTTGGTTGTCAGACCTCCAAACAGTTTGACCCTCTGACAGTTCTGGTTGCTCTTTGTTTTCAAATCCATTGTTGTCCTCCTTTGGCCATGTCAGGAGGCAAAGTGCATCTACCTATACCTCCATCTTGGCCAGAAGTCCCCAGACCCTTTCTATACCTAATTATTACATATATATTTGTAAAGGGGTCACATCATATTTTAAAATTTAACAATATACTGTACACCTTTTCCCACCCACAAATATAGTTCTGTAACATTATTTGGAACAACTCTTTACTACTGTATTTTAAAAAGTACCGTGATAGGCTTTCTTGCTTACACACCTGTGCACAATCCCTTAATTACTTCCTTAATATAGTCAAGGAATGCAATTATACATCTTTAAAAATCAACATTATTGACAAATTCCACATTTTAGCTTTGTCAGGGTAGCTCAGTTGGTGAGAGCATCATCCAATATGCCAAAGTTGTGGATTTGATTCCTGGTCAGGGCACAAACAAGAATCAACCAATGAATGCACAAATAAGTGGAACAACAACAAAAGAAATTATTCATCTTAAGGACTTTGATATTGCCAAATTCCTCTTTGGAAAGGCTGAAACGAACTACATTCGAATACCTAGTATGCAAGTGTTTCTCTTCACCCCACTGTTGCCAATCCACGTTGTGCACCAGCAGGTTTTTCTGCTAAAGGTGGCCAGTTAAACACAGGATCACAATGCGGCTTTAATTTGCATTTTTAAAAATTAGCAGGTTGAGAATTTTTCATGTTTATTAGTCATTTGTATCAGTTCTACATTCATGGATTTCCTTTACCCCTTTTTTAATGTAAAAAAATGATTTCATTGCTTTTCTAATTATTAAAACACTACATTCTCATTGCAGAAAATAGAAAGGGACCAAAACCCTAAAGCTGCCTTTGGGATATTGATTTTTAAGCTGGTTATTAAGAAACAAAAGACTGGGGAAGAACCTTTGCCCCTCCTCCTTTCCTGCCTGAGACACTCAGAGGAAAGGCCTGCTCTGGAGGGAACTCTTGGCCTCAGCATGCCTTGTGTTGAGGACGGTGGCCAGGAGGGCTCCAGCCAGGGGCTGGGAGGCTGGATCACACTCTGCGTCCCACCAAAGCAAGAATTTGCCTGCCCTGTGTGTTCTGCTCTTCCTCGTGACCTGGAAATTGCTCGTGCTCACTGTCGAAATCTAAGATCCCATGTCCCCCTTTTCTCTTCTGTCCAAAAAGACACATCTACCCAATTTTGCCTCACTGTCTTTGGGATTTTTGTGCTCATGTGAATTCCCTTGTGCATGTATGAAAATTTGGTTTTCACTGGTTAAGCTGTCCCTGTTAATTTGACTATTAGCTCAGCTTAGGAAAATTTAGAAAGTAGGAGTAAAGTTGTATCCACGTGTTTCTCTTGCCACACTGTTGCCATAACAGTAGGTTTGTTGCCACTAGCAGGGCTCTCTTTTAAAGGCGGTCAGTGAGAACGTGGTATCACAAGCCTGCTTTAAATTGCTTTTTAAATAAGTAGCAAGGTTGAGCACTATTCCATGTTTATCAGGCACTTGTATGACTTCTACTTTCATGGATTTCCTTTTTATAATTATTAAAACGCTACATCCTCATTGCAGAAAATTTAGAAAATAATAACTGTAAAGAAGAAAAAATTAGTCAGATACCCACAGTTAATAATACTGTGTATTTTTCCCAGATAGAGAGGATTAGAGACAGAACACATAATTAGAAAGACAAAATAAAATTATACTCTATATAGCTTTATATACTGCTTTTAAATGTATTACGGAGCAGTAATTCTCCTGAGCTATTAGGTATATACTGTTCTTGCAAACAGGACTTTAATGTGTGCAAAAAATATAGTTATACCATAATTGACTTAATAATTGCCTTGATTCAGCCATTTAGGTCCTCCCCATTCTTTGCCTTTATAAATCACAAAGTAACGAACACCTGACTCCTTCCTACCTGCTGTTTCCCATTCAAATGTGGGGCCTTTGCCTACACGGCTCCCCTTCTTCGCCTGGGAAAGTCCTGCTGAGCCTTGGAAATCCAGCTTACCGGCCACTTTCCTGATTCCCCCCGAGAGAGAGAGCATAGGTCCCATCCTGGTACCCCATAACACCACGTTCACACCTCCTCATCATTCTCTGCATGTGTTCCCAGCTCCTCCAGGACTCCGTGTCCTTAGGGGCAGGAACTTCATGCTCACAGGCACCTCCCAGGGCCCAGACTGTGCCTGACAGAGAGTCCAGGCTTCACAGGGGCTTGCTGTCAGAGGCCTGTGTCTCTCGGATGATTTAGTATTTGATTACAGAGTGCACACTCTGACACAAAAGCTGTCATGGAAGACATACAAGTTAAAACACAAAACCTCATCCAGAAGTCTCCCAGGAACAGCTGGGTCAGAGCAGTTGGCTAGCTGCTAAGGTGTTTAATAAAACCCCAGTTAATTAACAAGAAGAAGATTCCTCTGTGGTTTGCTTCACAGCAGAGGACAGCAAGAAGCGAGGCTGGAGACAGATCCCGCCTTCGCTTCTGGTTCAGTTCTGAACGGTTAGAGTTAACAGGTAAGGGGGGCCAGGAGCTGCCTCTGACCCAGATCAGACTACTGGAGGGCCGCCCTAATTCCCTTTGGTCTGGCATTCCCAGCCCTCCACACACTCCCCTCGTGATGCCGAGAGAATAAATTAATGAGTACAATCTCTTTGGAGAGCAATTTGACAGTATGACAATATCTATAACCACTCTGACCTCGCATCCTGCTATGGGGAGCACAAACTATAGCAGCACCAGCTCAAGTGGGTGAGGGTATGCATATGAGGACGAGCTGTTACTGCATTCATTGTAGGGGAAAGAACAAGCCCAATGTGCTTCCTCCGGCCTTGAACCCGAGCAGACGTTCCCAAGAATAAGGCAGATCTGCATGTTGTGGGAAGACAGTGAATTCCTACGCGGGATTGATTACATTTTGCACGACAACAACAATGAATTGCATACGAGGATGTCCACACAGACACACACAGAGACAGTTAGTAAAGGTGGGAGAAAACATCTCGCAGGAGACACACCTGCTCTCTGGGGAGAGAACTGTGGTGACAGTGAAGCAGCACTTTTACTTTCTACCATCAGACAGTGTGAGGGGGGCGGGTTGTTTCAATTTCCACAAGAGTATACTAATTCTGCAGTGAAAGGGAAGACAAAGCCCTTCACAAAGCTGGCTTCCAGGGATCTCTTCAACCTTGGCTCCCAGGGCTTCCTCAGTCCAGGGATAATCGCGTTAGAATAATCACTAACTGATGCAAATCGAGTTTTCTTTTGAAGCGGATCATACCCACTATGTGTTTCGCTTGTCGCAACTAACCCACGACAGACACCGTTATTATCGCCTCCAATTTGCACCTCAGAAAACTTGGATTCACAAGTTCAGGTCTAGAATTGATCAAATTGACAAAGAAAAAAAAAATCCGTACCCACTGTTAGGAGAAAAGCCGGAAGACAGGCACCCTCCACTCCGCTCACAGGGAGGGGAAATTTGTGCACAGCTTCTGGGGAGCAATTTGACAACGCGTATTAAAATTCTTTAAAATCTGCATCCCTTTACCCTAGCAATTCCTTTCTCTAGAAATGTCTCCCAAGGACATAATTAAGAACCTGCACAGACTCTCAGACACAGGATGTTCATTTAAAAGATGCTTATGATATTGAAAAATTGGAAACCACTTAAATATCCAAGAATAGAAAATTACTTAAATAAATTATGTTCCATTCATATGAGAGAAAACTCTAAAGGCACTAAATAGTGGTGAGGTAGACTATCTAATGACAGGGAACACAGTTCATGATGCATTTTAAAAGTAGGTCACAGGCAGCATGCATTGTATGAGTTCATTTCTGCTGCGGTAGAAGGAGGAGCAGGGAATACAGGCGATGTGCGTGCACAGTCGAAGGGCGAGGGATGGCACACCGAATACTAGTGCTCAGTCCTCTGGGGGGCGAGACCACTGAAGATTTTTTTCATTGCTTTCCTTTTCCTTTTTTTCCCCTTTTTCCAAAGGTATTGTATATATTTTATTTTTTACAGCTCTATTATAAACATTTTTAAAATTTTATGTTATTCTTGTTTATCCTATTACAGTTGTCCCAACCTTTCCCCTTTGCTCTCCTCCGGCCTGCCCCATCTCCCGCTCCCACAGTCTGTCTGTACCGCGTTGTCCTTGTCCGTGGGTCATTCACACGTGTTCTTTGACTACTCCCTTCCCCTTCTTCCCACCCTCCCCCACCCCCTTTCCCCTGGCACCTGTCAGTCTGTTCCCTGTGTTCATGTCCCTGGTTCCGTTTTGCTCCTTAGTTTATTTTGTTTGTTAGATGCCTCTTGTAGGTGAGGTCATATGGTATTTGTCTTTCAAGAGTGGCTTATTTCACTTCGCATAATGCTCTCCAGCTCCATCCATTTGCTGTTGCAAAGGGTAGAGATTCCTCCTTCTTTCTTTCTTCCTGCTGCATAGTATTCCACTGTGTAGATGAACCAGTTTTTTAATCCACTCATCTACCGATGGGCGCTTAGGCTGCTTCTAACAGATGGCTATTATAAAGAGTGCTGCTATAAACATCAGGGTTTGAATTGGTGTTTCAGGATTCGTAGGGTATATTCCCATCAGTGGAATTGCTTGCTGGGTCATAAGGCAGTTCCATTTTGAATATTTTGAGGAAGTTCCATACTGTTTTCCACAGTGGCTGCAGCAGACTGCAGTCCCACCAACAGTGCACTAGGGTTCCCTTCTCTCCACGTCCTCGCCAGCACTTGTTTTTTGTTTTGTTTTGTTTTGTTTTGTTTTTAGATAGAGGAGAAGAAGGGAGGGAGAAAGAGAGGGAGAGAAATATCAATGTACATGTGAGAGAGATACATCAATTGGTTACCTCTCCCATGCCCCCAGCTGAGGACCTGGCCCACAACCCAGGCATGTGCCCTGATGGGGAACTGAACCAGTGACTTTTTGGTTTAAAGACCAGTGCTCAATCCACTGAGATACACCAGCCAGGGCTTCACTGCTTTCCTTTCTTAATTGTATTTTCACAATTCCCCCTTGCTAAATGTCTTACAACTAAAGTGTATCACAAAATTGTATTACATTTTTAAAAGGAGATTCAGCTCCTTGCTCTTACCCCTGAAGCAACCTTTGTGGTCCCGCCTTTGTGCCTTCTTCCCTTTCTGATCTCTCCCCTCTCTACTCCCCGCAAACCCTGCCCATTCTGCAAGACCAGCTCCTCCAGGAAGCCTGCCATGATCTCTGCTGGCTTCTGGGCTCCCTAGCTCACACTCAGCTTTCTCTCCCACTTGCAAGGGACACAAGTGTCATGTGATACTGCCAAAGCATGCTGGGATGCAACTCATCAGCCCAGGGAGCATAAGAAACCTCCAAAGGGGCAGCTCAGTCCCTGATCCTTTAAAGAGACCTGGCTACTTCCATAGCAGATATTTGGGTGCCTAGGAGCCCAGCTGGCTTCAAAGCCCCCGCCTCTGGCTTGCACGGGAGGCTCTCTTCCTCGTCAGGTCTCGGTCTGCTCTTCATGCTTGGCTCACTAATGCCTGGGCTTTGCCCCAAAGCTCCTGGTACCCTGTGGGCTCGCCTGGTTCTGCCCCTTTGGAGTTCACCCCCTGTTTGCATCTCTGTCTGGGTAATAGGCAAGGCCACCTTCCTTCCAGTCTTCTAGCCCTTCACCAACCACCTGCACAGAGTCAGGGATGGTGACAACCACAGATCCCACGTAGCAAACACCCGTCAGGTGCTTCACGCACCAACTTCCTTTCATTTGTGTAATAACCATAGCCGTCCTTTGCTGAGTCCTTACTCAACATTTGACAAACATCCCCATTCTCCAGAGTAAGAAAGAGAGGCTCAGAGAGGTAAGGTGAGGTGCCCAAGGTCACAGAACTAGTAAGGACCAATCCTTGTCCGAGTACCAATCCCTGTCTGAGTACCAACTTCACCCCCTTAACCAGGACCTGATGCTCTCACACCTAAGGGACAGGTATGGGAAATGAGAAAACTGAGTTTTGGCAAGGTTAAGTCGAGGTTCAAGGGCATTTCAGCAGAGCATCAGAGAGGGGCCCGGGAGCTCAGATATGGGCAGATGCTGGTCTGGGCAAGGCGCTCGAGTAGGAGGGCTGCAAAAGGGGAGAGTCCGGCGCGGGTGAGGAACGGGGCTAGGGCCCCCAGGCAGAGATCCGATCCAGGGCTGGCTCCAATCCCGGCAGGTAGGGAAGCTTTCTAGGGCTCCCATCCACCTCAGAAACACACCTACCTGTCTAGCACAGCACAGCCACTCCTAGGTCATACCTGCCACTGTTCCCCATGGCCTTGGCCTCAGGAACTAGGTGGGGCTGTGTCTGTTGAGAGGAGTGGAGGTGGGGATCTTGGGGTCTTCTGGTGTCTCAGAGCGCTCAGATAAGCTAGGACGGTCACTGTTCACCTGCTAGATGGTGAGCTGTCATGATCAGGGGACACGCCTCATTCCACTTCCCACCAACCAGAGGCACAATAAAATCCAGGTGGTTGATCCTGGCAGCCTCAGGTGACACGGGCCTGGGTCCCCAAGTTCTTGGCTCTGGTCCTGGCTCTGCCATCATCTTCCCCTGAGACTCTGGGCATATCCCTTTCCCTCCTCGGGGCTGTGCAACGGTGGCATGTGGGAAAGCATTTTGAGAACTAGAGTCAAGAACAGCTGGTGCAGCCCCTCTGGAAACCAGTCTGGCAGTTCCTCAAAAAGTTAAACATAGAGTTACCATATGACCCAGCCATTGCACTCCTAGGTAGCTACCCAAGAGCGATGCAAACAGACGTCCATGCAAAAACCGGTGCATGGACGTTCACAGTAGCACTGCTCACAACAGCCCCAAAGTGGAAATAACCCAAACATCCATCACCTGGTGAATGAACAAACAAGCGATCCCTGCGACAGCAGAATATTATTCAGCCCTAAAGAAGAACCGAGCACTGCTCGTGAGCTTCAGTGTGGAGGAACCTTGGGAACGTCGTGTTGAGTGAAAGGGGCCGGCACAAAAGGCCACAGAGACGTATGATTTGCTTTTATAGGAAATGTTTAGAACAGGCAAGGCCACAGAGACAGAAAGGCGATCAGTGGTTCCCTGGGGCAGGAGAAGTCGGGAGAGTGTTTGCTACTGGGTGCAGGGTTTCTTGGGGGGTGAGTGTGATGTTCTGGATATAGTAGTGAGGGGTGCACAACCGTGTGAACACACTAAAACCAAGTGAACTGTACCCACTGAGAATTTAAAGAAGAAAACAGAGCAGCTAGCATTTACTTGGTGCTTCCTCCTCCCAGCTCCGTGCTAAGCTCTTCCTGGTCATTCCCTTAATAACCTGTAAACAACCCAAAGAGGAAGAACTCTCATTATCCCGACTCTGCGAACGAGGAGGCTGAGGCAGAGGAAGGTGTGATGTTGCGCCTGAGGTGGCACAGTGACAGTGCTGTGCACCCACAAGGTCAGTGAGTCCTGCACGTGCCTCCTCGGAGACCCCAGGGTATTCTGCACCCCCTTTCCGTGTGACCCGCCTCCCTGTCCATCTCCCCCACTCGGCTCGGCCGTGGGGGCCGGGGAGCAGCTGTCTCACCCACTGACTCCCGGCTCCAGGCCTGGCTCATATTATTGAATGGACAGAGAATTGTGCTATCTGTGCCCTCTCGGCTGGTTTGCAGAGAAATCGACTTTTCACAAAAGCGCAGCATCCGCTGTGGAACGTTAAGGCTGCCAGATGCCACTTCACACACCCTGAGGTTGCTGAACAGAAAGGCAAAAACCACCTCAAATCGAGACAAAATGCATTTGTGGTTTTGAAGGAAAGTCCTTAGAAGACAAAGTCTGTCTCCCAAGGCCAAGGTTGCTACAATTCGTTTACTTAAAGTAGAGAGACGACAAGCGCTGCCCCATGAGTCGGGGTGGCTTGCCGGAAGCAGTGATTTTGCAGAGCATCCCCCTGCTAGCTGCAGGAGGGGGAGGGCAGGCGATGACCGATGGCCGGAGCCAAAGCAAACACTCTGAAGGCAGCGATAATGGGGAAAGGCAGGAGGAATGGGAATAGGTTTGGAGGCTGAACAGGAAACAAGTCTGAAAGGAAGGGTGGGAAGGCAGGAAGCTCTCTGAGATTTTACAAAAAGGCCCTCCCCAGTCTGGGGGAGGAGCCCCACTGGCGCAGACGGGACTGAGCTGGAGTTGGAACCTCAGCTGGTCCAGGGGGCCCTACCTACTCCATCGGTCTCCGCCTGGGCCTCTCCATCTCCAGCCTCGCCCCTACCCCCCTGTCATCCTGCAATTGAGCCAAGGGATCCTTCTGACACACAGATGGCCCTACCCTCCTCTGCTCAAAAGCCTTCCGTGGCTCTCCACAGTTCAGAGAACCGTGCAGACGAGGCGCGCCAGGCCTCGGCGCCCACACGCCGGCCCCAGCCCTCCGTGCCATGCCAGCCTTCTCCCCCACCCCGCTCGGTGGCACCGCCCTGGGACCCGACGCACCGAACCACTTGTTCGCCCCCTAAATGGACTCTGCCTTTTCCAGTTTTTGTATTTCCTCCTTTTCACAGATATGTCTTGCCTCCTCAAATAGTTCTTTGAGGGACTATTTTCTCCACTTCCTTGACTCTCCCTCTGTGTCCAGCCTCGTGCTGCCAGTGGACCGAGGCCTCGGTGATTGCCAGAAGAACTCACTGAGTAGCCAGAACTGTGGGCAACAGAGGACTCCCGACAATTAACCTTTCCAGTCGGCTCTTCCGTAGCTTGATGTCGGCAGCTAGGAGGTGAGTACCAATGAGCAGGTGCCATATCAAGCACCTGGGGCGCCATCCCTCTGGGACTTCTGGGATACAGCATGAAACCCCACTTAGAGTTGTCCCGCCTCATGGGTCAAGGCCGCGGGGATACTTGCCTGTCCTCTCCCATTGGCCTCAGCAAGGGCGGGTCCTGGGATGTTTAACCCCGGGCACCTATGGTGGGCTCCCAGCTGCACTGAGAGGAGCCTGCAGCCCTACAGTCACTGCAGCTTGGGACAGGACCAGAGGACAGGCTCCCGATGAGTGGGAGGTGGTGGCATGGGGCAGCGATAGGGGCTGCTCAGCTCGTCCTTCTTGTCTCCAAACGTGCGCCTCACTGTCCCAGCCTCTGTGTCTCTGCTTGTGCTGTCCCCCCCCCCGCCACCCACTGCCCTCTTCCAAGCCTCTTCTCCACCCGCAGGGACCCTCTACGGCCCCTTCAGGGCCCAACCACATGGTCTCTCTCCATGAAGCTTTCCTGACCCCACCCCAGAGGGGTCGATGCCTCTCCCCTCCAGTCTCCCACCTTCTCTTGGCTCTCTGTGCGGCCATTCCCACGCGCCCACCCTGTCACCGCCGTGTACAGTCACGGTCTGTGGTCTCGTGTGCCTGCCCCCTGGGCTGGGAGCTCCGTGAGGGCGGGTCTCCCTCCGGTTCATCGGAGTCCCCAGCACCCAGCAGGGAGAAGGTGTCCAGTGAGTGAGTGAGTGAGTGACGGACTGACTGAGCAACAATCATATCAAATATTTATTGAGCGTTCACTACGTGCCAGACGCTGATCTAAACTCTTTACACATGATGACTTATTTAACCTACAAAGCCGCTGACGAGGGGGCATGGCCGTCACCGCCAGCCCACACTGGAGGCCTCGGCAGAGCACAGAGGAGGCAGCTGCCCACGGTCCCGCAGCTCCACGGCCCCGCAGCTCCACGGCCGAGTGAGGACTGACAGAGTGGACCCTCCTGGGTCCCTGGGGA